TTTTTTTTTTTTTTGGTACCGGGGATCGAACTCGGGTCCTTGTGCTTGCGCAGCAGGCGGCAAAACCACTGAGCTAAATCCTCGGCCCAGGTTTGCTGTTTTTATAACTCACTTTCTCAGGAGCTAATACCTAGATCCTCTCAGAGCTTCATTAATCCCTTCAGAAAGCGCCACCACCAGAGATCTAACCACCTTCCACCAGGCCCTGCTTCTTACAAAAAGGCCACACTGCAAGCCAAGCTCTGGCACAGAAACCTCCCAGGTACAACTCACATCCAACCACAGCTTCTAGTTCTCTTGCTGTGTTAAGGTTTGGAAGCCATCTGTATTTCTTTTGCTGTCCATTAATCCATTTTTCTAGACTTTCTTGATTTTTCTTCTTACTCATATGTAAAACTTTAAAAAAATATATTAAGGAATTTTGTCCTATGCCTGTGGTATGCATCAAAAGTACTTTCCACACTTTGTCTTTTGAGTTTATGAAGGCTTTTTTCTATGGAGAAACATTATGGTAGTCAAATTTATCAATTTAAAATTTTATGACTTCTGCAATACATCATTCTTAGGCAGCTTCTCCTTACTCCAAGATTATAAAATAAAATTTCCTACATTTCCTTCCACTACTGTTTTGGTTTTGATCCCTCTGGAAAATTTTCTAAGTAACATATGAGCTAGGCACCTAATGTAAGTTCCCAACAACATTTATGGAATAATCGTCTTCTCTCCTGGTTTGAAATGCCACATTGATCCTACATTAGATTTCTGGATACAGTTAGGTTTATTTCTGAGTTTTCTATTTATTGGTTTGCCACTTGTACCACACCATTTAAACGATTGCAGTTTAATATCAGTTCAAAGAGCGGCGGCACAGCCTGTCCCCCTACTGTTCCTTTCCAGAATTCCTCTCGCTATGCCAGCTTGTTTTGTCTGTTTGGATTTGGGGGCAGTTTGTCTATTTACCCCTAAATTCTCTTGAGGTTTTTTTTTCCTATTTTAATTCCATTGCACTTTCAGATGAATTTTGGGAGAAATAATATCTTTATGATGTTGCTGTTCAAGTGTTCTTTGTTGGTCCTTACAGCTGTTAGTTTTTTCAAAAAGCATTTGCACACATCTCGCTAAGTTTGTTGATGGATGATCGATCTTTTTATTGCTGCTATAATTTATTCTTTCCCTCATCTTGCCTGGCTGGTGGTTGTTGTTTTGGCAACAATTTAAAATCTGTGATTCTGGGCTATGGTGGTTCAGGTCGCCTTTGAGTTTGATTTGACTCGGCTTCTGGTTCCCAACCCCAGTGTGTAGGAAAAAAACCCCAGCCCCCCTGCAGACAGCAGGCCTTTGAGGGTTCTCACCAAGGGAGGCCCTGTCTGTATACAAAGCACCTCTAGGGTATGTGTCAGGCATTCAAAAAGAGATTGATCATGTTGTGTATGTCATAAACAACCACTAATCTATAAATCTAACGTCTTTTACCTCACTGTGGGGTGACCACAGCAGGGCAGGACATGGCACATTAAATTTCCTTTCCTTCAATCTGAGACTTTTTGGATAGATTTATCTTTGGTGTCCTGACAATTGATCACCTTGAGGAAACTGAGGTAGCAGCCACTATTCACATGACCCTATTTTCTCCTCAAATCAGAGAGGCAATGGAATGTCCAGGGTCCTCCCAGGAAAATGGAATTTTGAGCCCCTAAGAAAATCCCTTCAATTCCTCTGGCGCTCCTCTGTTAGCATTCCCATCACTAACACTTGCTGGGCATCTGCTGTCTGTGCATCATCCTGTGCTGGGAGCCAGGACACAGAAAGGGGGAAGTCACCTTCCTGCCCCAGAAGCCCCAGACCCTGGGGGGAGGGAGGTAGGGAAAGTCACCCTAAGGGGCAAGGAGTCGCACTCACCAGAGCTGTACTGGGCATGCTCTGGCCACGCAGAGAAGCGGGGTGAGAATTGTGTTCCGGATCCAAGGCACTCGAGCTGGGTCTTGACAAGTGGAGCAAGACTGGCAAAGGTGGCTGGTGGTACCAGTACTCTGTCACCTTCCAGGTACCCTGGCTCTGCTGGAAGGATGGGCCTGGCTCTTGTACCCTGCGGCTGCTGGGGAGGGAGGTGGTGCTGCCAGGAGCCCATGCACCCATCTCCAATGGGGCCAGGTAGCTGAACGCCTTCCACTTTTTGCTCCTCTGGTGGAACATCTCCCAAATGTACCTGGCAGGCTCCACCGGGCTCCCCAGTGGGATGGACCCCAGTTTTCAGAGTGGCCACCTGCTCACCTGCCTTCCCTGCCCTGTCTCCCCACTTCCGGCTCCATGGGTACTTCCTCTGCCCTCAACAGGGCCTGTTTAGGGGGCTGGACCAGGGGGGCTCCAGGAAGTCAGGGCAGCCTGGCAAAGGCACAGAGGTTCGACCAGCCGGGTGGCCTTATTTAGTTAGGCGACAGAGGAAGACCAGGCTGCAGGGCCTAGGGCATGTGCTGGGAGGGTCGAAGGAGGGCGTGCCTTGCCAAGAAAAGCACTGCCCTTTATGGAGAAAGGTGTGGGGTCGGGGGATTGTCTGGAGAGCCTGGGGGAAGACCTCTTCCACACCTCTGGCGCTTTTGCCCAAGGCTCCGGCCCTAAGCTCCAGCTCTGCAGATCTTTCAGCTCTGCCAGCACCTGCTTCCGGCAGAGCACCTGCCGGGCTGCGGTGGGGCAGCGCTTGGCAGGGAGGGGCGGGGCTTGGTACGAGATGGGGGCTGGGCCTAGAATGGGCGGAGCCGGGGGCGGGGCCGGGCAGGGGGTGGCCTGGGGCTCCGCTGGGCTGTGGGTAGGCAGGGGTCCCTGATACCATGCCTGGTGGGCCGGCTGCAGATTGTTCCTGTGGGGTGCACAGATGGAATTTTCCTCTCTGCAGCTATGCCTCCCTTGCCCGCCTGCGCTCTGGGCATGAGGCTCATCTGAGACCTGCCACCAGGGCGTCATTGGTATTCCTGTCCTGTCGGCTCTGTCAATGAGGATTCAGGAGGCCCTGGGAGAGGAGGCTGGCAAGGACCAGATGCTTTTCCTGTCTGCCTGGATACAGAGCTGTTGGAGCAGGTTTTCTTTTCCTCCTATCTTGACTATTATTTCTTCCCCTCCTTCCCTCCCTCCAGGCCCTGGACTAAGCATTTAAGATTCAGCGATGAGTTGGACAATATCTCTGCCCTCAGAAAAAGCCTGGTCTAGTGAGGAACTAGAACATGACCCAAAAATTACAAGAGTGCCCAGCACTAGGACACAGTTATTTGTGTATTTTGAATATTGGTTGAATGAAGAAAGAAAAAGATAAATGGCTGTTGAGTATAAGGAGGAGGCAATCCGTGAGGGCTGCACGAAGGCCACATGGAAAAGCACTGCTGTCACCACCTCGCCAGGCCCTTCCAGACCAAGGCCTATGCCAAGCCCAAGAGAGACAGCCTTGCCACACAGAGGAAGCAAACCTGGCAGGAGTTAGAAGAGCTCAGAAACCTGCGAATGGTCCTTTCAGGGTTCCAGAGCAGCTTCTCTCTGCACCAGCCTGGGGCTGCTCCCTTCAGGACCCCGCACTGCAAGGAAGGAATCCCTCAGGTCAGGACTGAGGAGCACACTGTGGTTACCACAGAGGCTGATTTTCTGGGATCCTTGGCTGCCATGCTTTTTTTTTTTTCTTTTCTGTTACCGGGGATTGAATTTAGGACCTTGCACTTGCCAGGCAGGTGCAGCGCCACTGAGGTGCATCCCCAGCCCTGCCATGCTCTTTAATCCCCAGAACTTCCCAGGCAATCACTATGGCCTGTTGGAAAAGCAAGTGACCAGTGAACATTCAAGTCTTCCTCCTAAAGCTGGGAATTTGAGCTTGAATCTCAGTGCTTCTGTGGCAGGCTGTGTGACCTTGGGAAAGCCTCTTACCCTCTCTGAGCCTGTTTCCTCATTTTTTTTTCCTGGTACTTGGGAAAGCCAGGGAAGCACAGCGCCACTGAGCTACATCCACAATCCTCCTTGTTTATTTAAATGAGAGATTTCTATCCAGTAGAACTGGTGCAAGGATTCCAGATGAGGCATGCCATCATTACTATCGACTGTTCAAGGTGACTTTAGGCTGCCCAGGGTTGGCTCATGATGGAGGGTTGGCT